TCCAGGGAAATCTCTGTGCGTCTAAATGAAGCCCAGTTTGTGCAGCGTGCCGCCTGCCAACTCGAGAGTGCATCTCAGTCCTGAATCTCGCCTAACAAACTAGGAGTAATACCTCTAAAATAAGGGTTACTCTGCCCCCATCCCTCCCCCAGTCGTCCTAGTGATGTCTTCCCCAGCCCTGCACCTTTACCGTCTCTGAGCCTTCAGAAGACTTCAAACAATCTCTCATGATTCCCAGGGGCTCTAAGTCATAGCAGTACAGTTGCCTAAAAAGGTCTGCCTGGTAGCGAGGGCAGAGAGGATGAATTTTACAGAGCTACGTATTATCCTTCTGTTGATAGAGAGCTGCTCGCTAGACCTCAGAAATCCTCTTTTTTTTCTACATCTGTGAACATTAACAGGGTAGATTTAGGCAGAAGCTACAGATAAAAGTTACGATCTGGAAAACAGCCCAGAGACTTGCGTTGCATGGGTCCAGGAATCTGCGAATAGGGCTGGCCATTTATGGCTCTACTAGAGCCACTGGGGTGGTGCGGCAGGAAAACAAACAAAAAGAACCCCCCAAACCCAGCAGTGGCTTGAATATTTTGATTTGTTGGAAAAACAGGAACCTCATATTGGATCCTAGTTAATCTTCAGAGAACCTTTGAGAGACATGTGGAAGTTTTCATGTACAGCAAACATGCAAATTTCCATATTGATTCAGTCAATAAAATGTGTAAGAAATAGTCTTCAAGCATTGCCTTTATGGGTTCATCAGCGTAGAATTTCCTAGACATGGGCTGTCACCGGTGGTGACCCATCTCTCTGACTGCTGTGCTCTCTGAGAACAAGAGGGGAAGCAGTCTGCAGTTCCCTTTGGTTTCATCAGACTGGAGAAGGAGAAGTACCTTTTGGGAACTTTTCGTCATCTTTTATGCTTCCTTTGCCATTTCTATTTTGACAATAATATATTGATAATTACTCTTTTAAGGGGTGAATTTTCATCTGACCTCACACCCAGCTTGTGGTGTTAGATACATTCCTATCTAGCAACAGCATCAAAAGTCTTATTAAAGCCAAGATACAACATATCTACTGCTGCTTTATGCAGCTTAAGTCAGTTAACCTTCTGTGTATAATTAGATAGTGGAACTCAGCCACTGGAGTGATTAAGAAAGGAGTTCAAGGGTAAATCAGGCAACTAGTTGGCTTACAAACTATCCATATCCAGTAGTTGTTGCTAATAAAGATTATAGAAAATGTAAGACATCTTTTTGTTTAAGAGAGTTTCTAACCATTACATTGTAGTTTGTGGCGGTAGATTTATCCTCCAACATGTCTGTGTGTTTTTGTTTATTTGGGGGTTTGTTTTCACCTTCTGAAGCTTTATATGCTTGTGTCATCTGAGACAGATACTAGACTGGGCCACAGATCAAGTCTGGGGTGGTAATTCCTTTGTCTCCCATTTCTCATTATGTGAATTCTTTCATTTCTGACAGGGTTCTTGGAGCATTTCTTGTCCTATTCTGCATGCCAGCACTATCAGAATGCATCTCTCTTCCTATGTAATTGAATTAACATAACTGATTAAATGTAATTATCCCCAGTTAAAATGAATTAGTTAATATTGCTCTCATTTCATTGTTTTAAATGCAACTGAATAAGACTCTATGCTGTAAAGACATTTTCCTTTTAATGTGCTTCTGTTCTTTTAAAGAGTTGTCTGATCTCAATCTTTTTCTGGCACAACCTAAGTGAAATGCGAGTGTTGAGCCCCACTCATGGGGCTGGCTTAATAGCTGGGGGACAATTACTAGGATAGTTAATAGCCTGGCTCCATGGAAATTTCTGCTGGCATGAGTAAAGAAGAAACACAGGGGTAGGAAATTATTCAGTGATTTCAAGAAAGTCAAATAACTGTGAGAATGGGTAAGGAAATATTTTATGTCTGTTTTCTCTGAGGTTTATGGCTGACGCAAGGAAAATGGGGTTGTTTCCTTTTGTCTACCCCTCACTCAGGGTGTGGTGCTAATACACCTACCTGATTTAATGACTGGCTACTGATGAAAGGGTTTTCTGCTCTTCTCCCTCTATTTACAGCTGTGCATTCCTGCCCCCTGCCTTGTCAGCAGAGATACTCATCAGGTCACTGTAACAGTAAGCTAAATTGGTAGAAAACTAACTATACAAAGGGAAGCATATGATTTTCTGCCTGTTCAGCTCTCTAAACTCGCTCAGGTTTGGGTCAGATCAGCTGAAGAAGTAGAGGGGAGTGGCTGAGGTTGGGAAGAGAAAGGGAAGGGAAGGGAAGGGGAAAGGATCAGCCATTTTCACCAGCAGCTGGCTGTTAATTAATTGGTCTATCTCTGTAGTAAAGCTGAAGGGCACAACACTTTAAGCTGCATGGATAGGTACTCCTTCCTGTACAGCAGAAGTACTTGGGAACAAGCTATAAGCTCCTCAGGGTTAAAGTAGGAGAGATTATTTGTAACCTGAATTAGGTTTCCCAATCCAGAGAGCTGTGCACCTATGGTGATGCTGTGCTGGCAGATCAAAGAGATTGTGCAGGGTCAATTTGTGGCCAGGGCTGGCCTTTTTTTGTTAAAGTGCTTACTGGCTCATGCTGGCTTAGTGGCCTCTAGGAAGTCGAGAGGTAGCCTCAGGATGAGCCCTTAGAGCTGGGTGAGGGCTGCACCCTTGGGTGAGCTGCAACCCTTCGTTCTCAGACAGCAGTGAAGGGAATTTGGCTGGATGTTTGTCAGGTTCAATTTTGTACAGGGACATTTGGATCTGTAATGGCAATGAACCTTTAAAATATTAGTCAGCTGTTACTCTGTTTCATCTTTACTAAGATACCGCAAACAGCAAAAGCATTGGACTGGCAGCCCTGAAGCAAGGTTGGTCTACAGTTGTAAGATTTTGCAAATAATCACAAAGACCTAACAATTTTTGATTAAATCCTAGCCATACTGGGAATCCTGCTGTTTATGGTTTAGAGGTTTAACCCAGGGATTACTTTTTTAAATGGGATGCTGAAAATTTTAACATGTAACTGTATTTGCTCAGGGACAAGTTGTTTTGCGTGTGGTTTTGTTTGGCGATTCTTTAATTGGTGGAAATCTATTCTTTGTACACATGTACTCACGAGCAAGTTGATAATCTGTGAGTTTCACAGTATTTCTTAGTGTGCAAATGTGAGGTGATGGTTGCATCGTGTCATGCCTCGGTAATATGCCAAGTGGATTGGGATATTGGGGAGAGGACATTAAAGACACATATCACTAAAACAATACATGGAAATTCTTACTGATGAGGGTTCTTAAACATGCTTAGCAACGTATTTGGCTGCTTTTAACTTTTACTGCTTTTGAAAGAAAGGAAATAAATGAATTGAACTACCTTCATTTGGTTTAATCTGAATTCAGGAATTTTGTATGCTGACTGGTAGAACAGATCCTATTTATATTCATTCCCTGGTGGTAACCAGTAAAACAGAAGTGTTCTGAGGTGTTTTTTAATAACCCTGTTGAGTGGACGCTTGGAGGAGAAAGAAGGAATTTCTTGGGGATCCGGATCAGTCATTCTCTGTGGGGGGACTGGTGGTAGGATAAAGGCTTGTGCAAAAGAATAGAAATGGATGAGCTGGGCTTACAGGCCACTTACTAAGGTGAGTTAATACAGTGCAGGCGTTCATACTGTCAACAGTTGCATTTTGGGTAGTTGTGTCTGATGCGAGAATGTATAATTGGGAAAATAACTCTGATTTTCAGTTGGAAAGCAGCAGCTTCTGGTAGTTTACGATGCTTTTATTTCCTGCCAGGTTTTCTTCCTCTTTGCCTTTAGAGGAAAAGGAATAAAAATTAATAGCAGAGGAATTCTACACTGCACAAAGAGAAAAGGAGGCTATCATATTTCATGTGGAAAATCCTATTAAAGAGACACCAAAGGGAACATCCAAATGGTCCATGTTTTCGTGAATAGTAAAATGGGTAGAAAGGATCAGACAATGGTATTATATCCTCGTTTCTTTTAAATCAGAGGTGCTCTACCAATCTGCTGCAGCTGTATGCAGGTCTGTGGCATAATTCTTTAGCCCCAGCCTGCTCCTGACCATCCTTTTTTCACTCAGAGCAGGATCTGCATCAATATAGTTGCTTTCGTGGTAGCAAGAGATTCCTCTTGACTATCCTCTTTCTGTGTCTTTCTGTCCCTTTCAAGGGCTTTATAAGATTTTCAGTGAACAAATATTGTATACTATGCAAGCAACAAGCTGTGGGCTTTTGTGAGAAGTCAGGCCTAAGGACTGAACATTTGTCTGCAGTGGATCTAATATGTGGTAAAGGCCCTGATGAGGCCAGGCCATACAGCTCTGCTCATCTATGGAAATAAGCTGTGTGTCCCACTGCAAGAAAAGCTGGGAACTATTGGTATAAGGCATTCAGCTGAAATTCAGAAGACCCAGATTCCAAACTACTGAAAATTTCTGTGGTTCTTTGGTAGACTGCATGATGTATGCATGTCATTTATTTGTCAGATACCTCCTTTTCCTACCCTTCATCTGTCTTGTTTATTTACATGATAATACCTTTATATTCTCTATTGTCTGGACAACAGCTTGTATGGTACAACCTTGATGTCAGCCTGTAAGCACTGCTGTAACATGAATAGATAATACATGGTGAGAAATAATGGTAATAATATGCAAGAAGAGGAAAAATCCCAATAAAAATGAAGTGTAATAGCAAGACAGCCAATATTATCTACCCATGTATTGGGAAAATAAGGTTTCTGTATGTTAGGTTAATTACTTGTTAATATCTGGAATTCTAAAGGATATCCTCATACAATGCCTAAGGGTTCATGTTGAGAAAATGGTAAAGCTGGTGTTTTTTCTTAAAGTTTTATCAGTTGGTTCTGTAAGTAAATATTTGTTGCTTTTGCTGCAATGATGTAATTCTATCTATCTACTTTATTTTTAAGGAAATGAGTTTTTAGCCATCTGATAATAGTGATACACAATGCCTGATCAGGGCAAAAAGTTGAAGAGCGCAGAAAAAGCAACAGACAAAAGACCTCATGGGATCTGTATGAGGTATAGTATCTGTCGTCTTTCTTTGATCAGGACCCATGTGGAATTTGCACTAGCTGCCAAAGCAGAATGCTTTAATTTGAAATGCAGTATAAACATGACAACTGTTACTCTGGTCACAAAGTTTATTTACACCTTTGTGGATTTAAGGCATTCTGGAGAAGCTATAAATTCTTCTCTATGCAAAATGAGGACACTAGGCAACACTAGAAAACTTTATTTTCTGTCAGTAGCATTGTTGCTTGTTGACCTTCTTTACTCTGATGAAAGTACTTTTATGTAACTATTAACACATATATTTATGCTGTTGTGTTTTATCCTAGGGATTATTCTGATCTTAAAAGACTTCAGTCTCTCTTAAATGTTCAGTCAAGCAACAAGCAGGTATTTTTTAATAACTATTATTTTTCAATAACTATTAAACATGCTGTAGAACTGTATAATTGTAAGTAATGGTGATTATGGATTGTGGCAGTTACGTAGGTTATTGTGTTCCATTATGATTAAACATGTTAGCAAAATCTTGTGTAGGGGATGTGGTGTTGCTTTTTAAAATTTTTTTTTTCTTTTAATTGTTGCATATAGTCAAGTAGCCTAACAGATTTCTTTTCTTCCATGCTGTTCCACAAAGTCATGAGGAGGTAGGCTTAGAGGTGTATTACTTACAACATGATGAAGAGTGGTAAAGAATATAAAATTAAAAAATCAGCGTTTAAACAAATTTAAACAATTTGTCTCTGGAGAGCGACGCTTCAGCTAAAAATCTTCAGGGCGTAAGTATCAATGCATGAAACTTATAGGACACAGTAAAATTTCCTTCACCTCAAGTCACTTAGTGAAGCTTGTGTTTGCCATTTGAAGCAAAGAAAACCAACACATGATGATGTTTGTGAGTCCTTGAGAATGCCTTTCTATTCTGTAAAAAGATATGACAAAATGACGTAGGGAGTCATCCATGTGAGATAGGAGTTATGCACTCCCTTCATGGATAGAGGCATGGAGTTGCTTCTGAGCAGAAAGCTGAAACATCTGAGTTCTACAGCCTAAAAAGAATATGAAGGCTGTGCAACTGTAGAAGTGGGACAGGTAAGGAGCATAGCTTATGAGCATGTGTTGTAGATTCTATTGAGCTTTACTATTATAAATTTTAAAAGACACTGTTCTTCACATTCTATGTATCTCCATGTACTTGTTTTCCAGCCTTGCTTTACATCAGTTTTCTACCATGTCAGTTTTGTTTTGCATGGGGTGTGTGTATATTTAATAATGTCAGATCATAGGTACAAAGTTCAAGTCAGAACTTAAGAACAGGTACTTTTGCTTCATAACATTCTTATAAATGTTAAAATGCAGTGTTTGACTCATTAGTGCTATCCCTTTACTCCTTAGCTTCCAGCTATACATTTTGAAAGTGGTCAAACCAGTGTGACAAGAGCCCAGCAAAATGTCAAAAGCAGTGAACAAAAACCCCATGGTCAATGGCAAGAATCAACAGAAGCTGTTGAGCTTGAAAACTTTAGGTAAAAAAAAAGCTAATATGATGACACTGTGTTGTATCTCTGAACATATCTTAAGCTTCTTGAGGTGTTGAAGGCATTTATATTTGTACTTATGTCTGTTACTTGTACTTTCATGTTAACCCACTATCGGAGATATGAATTATATATTTTTAACTTTCTAAACCTAACTGTGAATATTCCTGCCTTTGTAAGTTTCAGAACCATGCTCCCACTCAGCAGTGTACTGTTGAGAGTTAATATAGTCAATTTAAATAAAGTAAAGGTTTCTTTATTTGGAAAGCTTATACTATCCCATTATAGTAGTCCCAAATTATGCATGAGACAGACTGTTCTTCCATGCTGTTAATGTCTGGAAAACTGAAGTTGTGTTATTCCATTGTAACTGCTGATATGACATTTCTTAATTTTTCTTGCTGATGTTAAGTTTTGGCAATCTAAAATTATGTTGTGGCGAGATAATCAGCAATTCAGCATTTTTCTTTTTTTTCCTTATTAGTGTGACCTACAAGAATGAGAGAAATTTTAGCAAACATCCCAAACATAAGCTGTTTCAAGAGATCTTTACAGCTTTAGTTAAGAACAGACTTACCTGCAGGTCAGTAAATTGAACATACTCATATCCAAGGAGGGTCACTCTTTCTTGCCTTAAGCGAAGAACCAAGATGCATGGATAATGTTTCATACTGTTTCAACGATATATACAGCATATATGTTTCAACAATAGACCTCTGTGTGGAAACTGCCAGCTTCACATCTCTGCATCATCTCAGTTTTAAACAATCACTTCTGTTTTGGCTTTGAAGATCGAATGCTTGGGTTACTGGCATGGAAAAACGAAGGCCTGGGTGTATAACAAAATTTGGATGACCAAAATTCTAACATCTGCTATGTTTCCTTGATCATTTGTCTATATCTGGTATCTGTAGTCTGTGGTTTGCTTTTCTAATTTCATTTTTATTTTACTGATTTTACTTGTATTTTATGGACTGCTGCCTATATATAAAAAGATCAGTGGCTTTCATAAAATTCAGATAAGTTTATGCTACTGTTCATATTTATTTGTATTAGTGTGTATAACAGGATTAAAAAGGGAAAACTCTCTTATGCTGCTGTCGTTTAAGCAAGGAAGAAGTGCAAGACCTTAAAAAAAATAGGGGGAATAGAAAAAGATTATCGCTATACACCACTGCAATGTGTTGTATTTTTCCTTTTTAAAGCCCAAGTACATTTTCTGAAAAATCTTAAGTGATACAGAAGCTTAAAGGAAGAATCCTAGAGCATTTAAAAGTATTAATGTGTAACTGCTAGAATTTACAGAAGTACCTAAAAGCCACCAAAAAAATCACATAGTTTGCTTAGACCCTTTTTCAGAACTAACTAGGGATGTCATCTTTGATTATCTAAATAGCAGTGAGTTTAAGACAGATCATTTAAGCGATTTGTAAATCTGGTACCTCTTTTTTTGCAAGTGAACTTTATCATCTCAGTACCCACCCAGTGGGATGTCAGTGGCTCAGCTTCATTTGCCAAAAATCTAAGAATAACTTGCAATGTGTCTTCTCAAGTTCTATTTATACATTGTGCCATACCTTGTTCATATTTTGGTTTTTGTTTTCTTTGGTACTTCTTTATGAGGATATAGCAAAACCAGCCTTGTGTTATAAATGAAAGCACTTAGGTAAGGTTAATGAAACAAGCAAATATTAGTAGGTATGTAAAACCCATAAGGTAAGTGCAGTTACAAAGGTGATTTAGTTGCCCTTTATAAATATTTTACTATGGCTGTGATGGTGTCCTCTCTTTGGAACTACTGCCATTGCATTGTGTCAGAGCCTTAGAAACTGTCACCCTCATCTGCATTACATACTTTTGCTGGCATAACTATGTTCGTTGGGGTGCAAGAAAAAATCACATCCGTTAATTGGCATCACTGTGTTGGCAGAAGTCCTAGTTGGAGGTAGTTCTGTTGACAAGAAAGCTGTGATCAGCTTAGCTTAAGTAGTTTGGATAAGAAGTATAACTAAGCAGGCAGAAAAAAGCCTGCTGGCATATGCTGGATATACACTACTAGATACTAGATACACACTACTAGGTTATCTAGTAATGTGTATTGTAAGTGTAACTATTGTAGAAGAGGCTCTCAAACGTTAACCAGGCTCAGAGAATTACTGTCCCTGCTAATGGAAATGTGACAGAAGCATTGCTCCGTTAAAGAAACTAACTTCTGTCAAGAGTCAAGGCTTTTTGAAAGAATAACTTTGTAGAACCATCGTGGTAATGATCTTCAGGCCACTTTAAAATCTAATCTACCAGTATATGGTTGCTGTTTTCTTTCCATGGAAGTTTTGTGCCATTCTGACGTGGCCAATTATGGAAGCATACTGAAAAATAGTATTACTTTGGGCAGACTATTGGCATAGAAGGGCTGAGATTTTGTTAGTATCTATTTGCAAAACATTTATTTTTGTCAAAATATTTTTAGCCACTGGCATCGTTCCCAACTGCAAATGATAAAAAGGGAAGAGAACTGCCACATCTCATAGACTTCTTCCATTCCTTGGAAACTTGCCCAGATACTACAGATTCTATCCTCTCAGTTAAAACAACAACAAAAAAACCCCACTGCAAAGATGTCCAATTTTAGGTTTATTGTAAATAGGAAAACAGGGACATATACCTTCAACAGACAATGGAAATAGTGATTCCATTACTGGTATTTTATGCAGGATTACTGCCCCTGGATGCTTTGTGCAAATCTGAATTGTGTTTTCTGCCAAGTCTAGTCCTGGGGAATTGCATGGAGAAATATAAAAGAGGAAGTTCTATTTGAAAGTATAATCCTTTGTCAAGAACATTTAAACTAAATAACAAGTTATTCCAAGGACTAATGGTATTAGAGTTTTTAAAACCCAGGATAAATTTTTATGATTCAAAAAATTATTTCAAATCTAGCTATTTTTATTTCTGTATCACCCATGTGTTTTTTTTTAATATTTTTATTTAAGTGTATTTTATGCATTGAAGTTTGATATGTGGTTTCTCAGTGATTTTTCCCTTTTGGGCCTTGATCCAAACACTTCAAGTAAGTTTATATCAAAGCATGGTCAGTTTATGCTTAGAGATAAGCATGTACTTTCCTGCATCAGTTCAGTGATAATAAGTGATGGCTGGCAATGTTCATATAATGAAATCAATTTATTTAAAGCTGTTACTATGTTTGAATATAAATCGTATTAAAAGTTCTATAGTATAGTATGTTGTACAGCTGTTGTAGGTCACTAATCTTCTAGTCGATTGATTCCTGAATCAAAGTGTTTTATCTAAGTTTTAACACTTTAAAAATTGTATTTGGTTTATGTTTTGAATATTTCTTTTACAGCGAGTGGGTTAATCAAGCTCCGTCCATCCATTTTCTTAGAGTATTAATCTGCCTGAGATTACTAATAAGGGATCCATGCTATCAGGTCAGTATGTCAATATACTGTTTCTTGCTTGGATGAGAGAATGCATATAATCATCATGCATATGAGTTGTGTTGATGCATGTGTATAAAAACGTGCATTCTTATGGATGCATACCTATTATATATATGTACTTATATTTCTGTATGTGAAGATGTGATTTGCAAACAAACAGATTCGAAGAGTGAATTTGCACTGTTACTGCATAACTTGCTAAATTTCTGGTATTTCTTATGTAGCGCCTGTTGTTGCTAACCCTAACAAGGAACTGGTAAATCGCTGTAACAGATGGCTTGGTCATTGCTGTGAGCCCTAGACTCCGTGCTTGACTTTACCATATAGATATGTAAAATTCCCATAATGTAGTAAGTGAAGAAAACTGAAAGCTGCCTATTCCTCCTAGCAGCCCAATGCTCTGAACTACAAAGAACTAGATTTTAATTTTATTCTGGCTATTATAGTTGTTGTTCATAGGACTAAGCCTCAGACATCTGTTAAGATTTTTTTTTTTAATGTATTTCTTTTCTCTATGTTCCAAAGCTTATGCTGGTTCTCCAGCTTTAGAACCTTTAAGAATTTCACTTCTGTGTTTTTGTTAGTCTACTTATAAGTAATTCTGAACTTTGAAGGTGCTAAGCATCTCCAGAATCCATTGACTTCAACCACCGGAGTTAAGGTTTCTCAACATTCATAACAAACAGAGCATTTATATTCTAGTGTTCTCTCATTCTAGTGTTTTCTGTATGTTGACTCAATGTTTTTTTATTTTTTATTTTCTTTTAGGAAATGCTCCACAGCTTGGGTGGGATTGAAAATCTAGCTCAGGTAGAATTCCTCATAGTACCTTTGTCCATTATGTTGCATGTCAGTTTATTATGATTAGAATGAAATACACTGTAAAAAGCAGTGTACATATATTCTTGGTTTATGGAAAGAAGCGAGTCTATTCCTCTGTTTGTGTATAAGCAGTTGGTGTGGTTTTTTTTCACTGGTGCACAAAGCAGCTCTCCTTATAATCTAGCAGCATTTAACCCAGGACTTTTAGTTAGGAGGCTTAACAAATGCCTCCTGAAGTGGGAGAAGGATTAGAAAAGTCAGCACAATTGGTTCAGTCAAAAGAAACCATAGACTTTTGAAGGAAGATGAGTAGAGTCACCTTGAACTGTAGCAAAAAACTTTTCAAAGGTAAAAGCATAGTGATAGAATGTTGAACAGGTTTAAATTGGGGGACTACAGTACTTTTGCATTACAAAACATTATTGATAACTGACTGCTGCATAGTTATTGCTCTGTGTTAATACTGCTTTACTCCTGGGTTTTTAATACTTGTTCATCACTGTCAATTTAGCAGTGAGATATGACATACCTTGAATATCTTTGAAATTGCTGGGAGTTTTCTTTCTGGAAAAAAAATTCAGAATTTTTATAACAAATGTATCTTTCTAGAATGCAGTCATCATTCATTAATATTTATGGAGCCACCTGTATTTCGAAGAACCAATAGTGTGCTATAAGCCCTTTGGTCAGACAATCACCTGTTTGAAATGTCCCTAAAGTTGCAGGAGTTGAAGATTCTTAATTTCTAATGGATATGGTTCCCAGAGGAACTTCTTGGCATTTTCCAATGCTTGCATGTCATTAATGCTTAGCCCTACTTTTTGAAGAGCTTGCACAATGCAAAGCGCAATGGCCTGCTGAGACATTGGCAACATCTGCAAGTGGAGTCCTCTGTGGCAGGAATCCAAATTGTATAGTTGATAATAATTTTTACTATGCATGTGTTGCTGGCATAGAGAATTTAAAAAGTCATGAGATGCAATTTTTATGATTTCTGAACTTCTGGGGAACTTAATCTTTTGTGTCCTTTGCAGCAAGATAAAATTAAGTGTTAAATGGGTTTCCAGCACTTTGAAATGCAGTTCGAAAAAAGTTACAGCCGAGACTTTCAAAAATCCCTCAGAAATTTGGAAGGTGGCAGTTGTTTCAAGATGAATTGTGCATCCAAATCTTCTTGCCAAATCACAAGTCTAAAGTCCTCCAGTAGACTATTTTATACAGCATTAAAAACATATTTTTTAATTTTTTTGGGCAGTTTCAGGTAAAAAACTGTTCTCATTTTAAAGTGTTTTGGGGTGTTCTAGCAAAAAACACTAATAAAATTATTACCAATATTACTTTGCATAGTAGTGTCCTCCTCATGTGAGTTTTCTTTCTAAATTGTGTGCTACTACTGTAGTTCTAGTACCCTCTGCTTGAAACTGCTGTAGTTTCCCTATACAGTGTTCTTGAAATTTCAAAATGCCACCATAAGTAAGATCAATATATAAGTGATGCCACGAATCATACCATGATTTTGTGTACTAACAAATAGTACATCCTTGTGATAATTCTCATTTCCTGGAAAAATATGTTTGACCAGGTAATTATTAGGGTTTTTAAAAAAGATTGACCACCATTTCCCACCAGTTGGCTATGTCCAAAAAAAAAAAAAGAAATAAAATCCCCCCCTGCAGTTGTGTACGTTTTGTAGAGTCTAAGCCTGTCAGCTGTGTGGATTAAAGATCCATCTGGCTGTTCCAAGCAGTGGCCGATAGTAGTTGCTGAGGGAAAAGTTTGAGAGCAGAAACATGAAGTGATAATTCCCCAGAAAACTCTTATCAGCCTGTAGCAGCTTGCAAAGAAGGGAATTTTGGCCCTAGAAGTAGAGTCGTTGTATTTGATAGCCTTCAGTGGATTTTTCTCTTCTGGAATTTTACACTTGCTTTTTGAATTCTCATACTTCCAAGATCTCTTCTGTTCCCTGACAAGTTTTACAGCCAAAGTATGCGGGATGTTGCAGACTTACCTTTTTTGTGAAACAGATGCACCACCTACAGGCTATTTCTGTGCATAACACGCTATGTTTCTGAATTCTTAAAACTATTTTTAATGGTATCCTTTATTTTTTCCCCTCTACTTGTAGTACATGGAAACAGTAGCAAATGCCTATCTTGATTACGGAGAAGACCAGCATAATGTAGACAAGTTGGTCAACATGACATGTAAGTGTTATAGCTGATAACATAAGTTATCACTTAGAACTTTATGGGTGAGGCTTAAAATGTTTAAAATACTTGAGATGGTCATGAAGTAAGATATTACTAGATTCATTGTGGGCATCATCACACAAGTGAAAACTGAAATTGCTGTGGTTTTGTACATAAGTAATATTTTCTTAGGAAATTAATACCGCTTTATGCACTGAAATAGCAGAGTAAAATGAGCAAATCATGGTTCAGAGAACTTATCCAGTGTTTTGCTTTATTATCTGATTAGTAAAATGAAAAATATTAAATGGTAAAGCTTCAGTTTATGTGACTTCCTTTGTTCCATAGACATTTTCCAAAAGCTTGCTGCTGTTAAAGATCAAAGAGAATGGGTTATAGCAAGTGGAGTACATAAAGTAAGTGCTTTATAAAACTGCTAATTATAACCAATTAGCTACTTAACTGAATGACTTACGCTTTTCAGATTTGATCTAGGTGGGAGTAACTTCCTTACCTTGTCAAGCTTGTAAAGTAAGATAATCTCAGTTCTGTGTTTTACAGATGTATTAGTAGTATCATAAAAATTATTTCTTGTATGTAAGTTAATTGGCCTGATGCATGGTTATTGGTTGTTTGAGATAAATAGGTCTTAAATGTTTGGACTAAACTCGTTCATGTAAAAATTAGTACTCATGTTTACACTGTCCTGAGCTACATGTTACTATGATATAAATTGTC